ATTGTAAGAGAGCTGGGATGGAGTGGCATGAAGATTTGGAGAATATTTGCCAGCAATCAGGCCTGAAGGGCAAAAAATTATCAAAGGTATCGTATGATAAGGAAATGATGAAATTATATCTGTATTGTCTTTGTAGGATATAATTGAAGTGTCTAGTACAATTTGTATAATTTCATATAGTTAAAAACTCTTTTATTTGAACAAGAATAAAGCAATCTAGTATTTTTAGCTCTTCTGAGCCAAAGGCTCAAAGAGCTAATGCTATGGCCATTTGTGCGGTGTGCGGTGCGCGTTAACTTTTTAGAATATGGGCCATAACTCAAGAACCCCTTGGCCAATCAGTGTCAAATTTTTCACAGGGTATCCTTGGCCCAAGGGCTACCCTTTATACTAAAATAAGGGTTGGGACCCTTAAACAAGGGGAGATAATCAGGAAAACAAAACCAAAAGTACTGGTTGCTAAAAAATCTTCTTCTCCAGAACCACCAGGCAGATTTTCACCAAACTTACATACAAGGATCAGGATATGTTGAAGATTAAAAATTTTTCAAGGCATGACCCTCGGGCAAAGGGCGTGGTCTCAAGGTCACTTCAAAGTTGACCTAAATTTACAAATAATAAAAACGTTTATATTTTGCTTACTATTAGGACTAGGATCATCAAATCTTGTAAGTTGATGCATCTCAGGACTTCACATCATGTTAACTTAAAAGTAGGTCACGGTGACCTACTTTTCAAATTTTGTGGGCATTTGTTTTCAAGTTGATTTGAAGGGATATTTCGGACACTTTAAGGCCTATGATCATCAAACTTTGTCAGTTGATGCATCTTGGGTCCTTGAACAACGTCACCCTAAAAGTAGGTCACAGTGACCTACTTTTTTAACTTTATGACTAATTCTATTTAAAACATTTAATCCCACTATTTCATACACTGAGAGGTTTAGAATCATCAAATCTTGTAAATTGATGCATCTTGGGACCTTAAAACATATTTATGGAAAAGTAGGTCACTGTGACCTACTTTTTGAATTTTGCAGGCATTTGTTTTCGAGTTGTTTAAAAGGCATATTCTGATTACCTTCAGACCTAGGATCATCAAACTTGGTCAGCAGATGCATCTTGTGACTTTAAAAAATGTTGTCCGAAATATAGGTCACAATGACCTAGTTTCAACATTTTTTGGCTCTATTTTAGTATCTTAGGTATTTATTGGCTTAGAATCATCAAACTTTGTGAGTTGATGCGTCTTGAGTTTTCGGAGAGTGACGACCAAAAAGTAGGTCACAGTGACCTACTTTTGACATTTTATGGCTTTATTGAAGTATCTCTACGGTACTTATTGGCTTAGAATCATCAAACTTTGTAAGTTGATGCATGTTGGGTTTTCGGAGAATGATGTCCAAAAAGTAGGTCATTGTGACCTACTTTCGACATTTTATGGCTATATTTTAGTATTTTAGGTATTTATTGGCTTAGAATCATCAACTTTGTGAGTTGATGCGTCTTGGGTTTTCGGAGAGTGACGACCAAAAAGTAGGTCACGGTGACCTACTTTTGACATTTTATGGCTTTATTTTAGTATCTTAGGTATTTTTTGGGTTAGAATCATCAAACTTTGTGAGTTGATGCGTCTTAGGTTTTCGGAGAGTGACAACCAAAAAGTAGGTCACAGTGACCTACTTTTGACATTTTATGACTTTATTTAAGTATCCTAGGTATTTATTGGCTTAGAATCATCAAACTTTGTAAGTTGTTGCATCTTGGGTTTTTGGAGAATGATGTCAAAAAAGTGGGTCACTGTGACCTACTTTCGACATTTTATGGCTTTATTTAAGTATCTATGGTACTAACTGGTTTAGAAGTGATTTTTTTTAAAGGGGGGGGGTGGTCCTTGCAATTTTTTTTTCTCTTTGAAGATTGCTGTTTTGAGAAATTAATCACGAATATTAAATTTACATTATTTTTTTTATTTATTTTAAAAATTTTACTATGTAGTTTACTATGTTTTGCTTTTTAAAAATGTTTTCTCTTTTTTGTATAAAGATGAAATTTTATGATTTGCAGGCCATGGAAAATTTCTCATTGAATATAAGAGTATTAAAAGGACAAGCAGATTTAATCAACCAAGCCAAAAAAGAAAGCCAAGAATATCTTAGACAAGTGAGGCGATTTCTTTCTCTGAAGGTTCAATAGGCTTAGGTCTTTTCTTTCCTTGGCTAGAAATCTTTAATAAATTTCAACTATCAAGAAATTTAGCTAAAGACTAAAGCACTAAAATGATGTTTTCCCCCTCTATATATTTCATTTGGTTGTTATTTTAATGTTTCTCTGTAATTATTCAAGTGTTTAAGGATTATTGTAGCACTTGAAGTATAGCTAAATTAAAAATGAATATAAAGTACCTTTTTTAATTTCTGAGAGAAGTATTTCTAAGTTTTCTCATGAATATTTTGGATCAATAAACACAAACCAATCATTTATTAATTTGTTTATGTATAAAGTCTTTTCATGTAGTCACCAAGATCAATAGTCACAGATGGATTTTAGATCACAAATGAAATTTGACACAAATACAAGTTAATTTGTACATAGTATTTTTCAATTTTTAAAACATAATTTTTTTTAAATCCTGCACTCCAGATCACAGAAGCAGCACAATCAATGGGCCTTGGAAAATTCAACGACAGCCAGACAGACATACCAGATGTGCTGGACAGTCCATTATGATGTAGAGACGGTCAACAAAAAGTCCAAGGTCCAGGTGCCACTCACAAAGGGTGGTGCATCTGTCGGAACTACCAAGCACTTCTCAAACAAACAACCTGGGAAATCCACACAAATGTGGGAAATCATACCACAACAGCTTCTGATTTTTTATTGCTGCCAAAAACTGTGTACAAAAAACAAAGGTAGTGTGTTGCTGGCCAACATACCAAAATGTCAGAATCTCATGTGATAGTTTATATAGAGTCTGTGTGTTTCTGTTCAGACTGCATTTCTTGATTCCTAGTCATCCCCCTTACTTACCATGCCAAATGCTTATATACTAGATAGTGTATTAATATTGTCCGAATACTTTTTGGGGGGTTTCATTGGTACTGTTTACTAATTAAGTCTTGTTGATGTTTATGTATAGGTGTAAATCTTATAGTACCATATATATACTTTTACTCATGAAAGACAATATTTTATACTCTGACAACAGGGGGATGATTTCTGTGTTAATCTTATCAGGCTCTCTATGTGTTCTTCTGTGATCTAGTCTAACTCTTGCCAGGTTTATGAATGTTCTGCTGTGATTTGTGTCTATTACCAGTCTATTTAGGAGGCAATCTTTATTGATTTGTTTAAAGTCAACTTTTTTAGCAAGGGGGAGTGGTCCAAGTATCTGTTATTGATATATACACGTAGCATTACACAGGAAGTCTGTGTCTGGTGATCAGCAACATTCCGTGTTTCATGTCTAAATCGGAGTGAAACTGCTATAAATATTTTTATTTCAATATAAAGTTTATTTATGTGTACACAGCGATATTTAGAAAAAAAGTTATAAAGAAATATCGTTTTTTCTGATTTTTAAAAAAAAATGTAAAATTAAGACAAGAACACAGAGTTAATACAAAGCAAACATTCCTTTTTTAATTAAACTTGTGTACTATCAAAATTTAAAAGAATAATAAAATATTCCATTCATAAGGCCTATCCGTTTTGTTGAACATATATACAATATGCCGCAAATATATTTTGCCTCATGTGATTCTTATATAATAGTGTCGTTATTCACCATTTCCGGGTGTTACAAAAATGTTTGCAAGATTTCTTTTATTTTTAAGAATTGATCTTTGGCTTTATAATTCACTTTTTAACTTCAATATTGGGTATATATACATGGTGTAGATTGTATTCAAATATTAATATTGATCAAAACATTGGATAAAGGAATTTTTTATCCATGCCGTATTATTATATCTTCCAATTGATTAATCGGCAAAAGTCGTTTCTGGTGCATGTACTGGTTATAAAGCAGATATATTTTGACTTCAAAATACATATATTTAAAGCAAATATTTTATGAAGTCAATTTTAATTATCTGCTCTCAATTTTTCTCTGAAAAGAAAATGGGAAGATTTCTGTGTTAATCTTATACAGGCTCTACTATGTGTTTGACGTGATCAGGCAATCGTTTTCAAAAGACACAAATGTTCTAGTGATTTGTGTCTATTACCAGTCTATTTAGCAGGCAATCTTTATTGATTTGTTTAAGGTTTTTTACTGTGTCCAATTTAATGACACATCCAGAGAAACTATGAATATGTTGTCCATCCTTACAAAAAGTCAATCAGATTTCAAGCAAAATCAGTTATATTTCCATCAAACCCCAGAGCAGCTCTCTTGCCTATTTTGATTTCCCAATACAACTTACATATTTTTCCAACCAAAGCAATGGTGTCCTCTTGGGATTTACCAACATGGCTGTAGTTAAGATTTACGTGTATGTGATCTCTTAAAAACCTTGATACTAACCAGTTAAGTCTCAGATTTCTTGACAAAACTATGGAAATGGGTATCTTACATGAATATTTGTGGAAGTTTCTTACCAAGTGCTTGAAACCTTTCTGGTGTTATATAAGGATATTTTTGTTTGTCATTCCATCACAGTATACCTGATAATAAACATAAGCAGCATCATGAGCACCCTTGTCAGTAAACTTATTAAGAGGTGATTAGATGTGCCTATCATTAGATCTTTTGACATAAACCAAGTGCTGTGTGATACATATTTCCTATATTACTCCGACTATTGTCTCTCTAAGCAATTTAGATATTTCACTCAAGAGCAATATTTGTATTATTTACGTAACGTAAGTATACAAGTTTGTGATGTGGTGTAAATGGTATGAGTGGTGAATGTACAGATTTATATAACACTATGAAAAATTTAGGAATCGTGACTTCACTTTCATCAGATTTCATACTATGTACCCTCATCCCTTCGTGAAGTAGTTATCATAAGTTACAATGTACTTAACATCACAGGATGTGTTTATAAACAACAATCAATAGTATAAAAACTTTCCTGAAGTTCACATTTGTTTTTCCAAAATTATAACTTGAAGAACTGTCGGTGGCAATTTATATTATTAGCATGATATTTAATCCTAGACCCTCGGTCTATGACTTTATAATTATCTCTGCTTAATAACATTTCAAACCACTTGAGTAACTCAGGCAATCTACTTTTATCTAGGTTCATCTCATTTTCAAGTCTTCTCTAGAACCATTTGGCCAATTTCATCCAAACTTGTGACAAATCTTTAAATGAGTAAGTACATTATATCCCCTCACACCCCATTTCACCTCCCAGATGATGAGCAAATTACCAAGCAAAAGTCTGAGAGAATCTTGCCTTTATTTTTAGCAAAGTATTAATGTTGAACACAAAGATATTGAGAGCAAAATATATTATTCATGTTTGTTGCTTTGATTCACCATCTGTCTCTGGTTTGAGATTCAATATCTTTGTCCTCTGCATGAAAACATCACATGCAACATTAATGACTAATATATATAAACAAAACTAGTAGAAAAGTAGTTCAAGATTATATTTTAATTATCAGTTTTAAACAATATTAGATTAATTTATTTTTTTACACCCGTTAGTAAGTAGTTGATTTACTGGTAAAATATCTCGGTGCATATTTCACGTTTGAACGATTAAGGATTTTTGTTCAGATAATGCTCATTTATTTGAAATGCCATTGAATCTCTTTTGAGAATTGTCCCCTTTATTTATACTGTAGTGGTATTGTAATTAATTGTTTTCTGAATGTAGTAATTAATACTATAGTGTTGAACTACATTGATACAATAGTTGTTTTTCCCCGGTCAGTTAAAACCAAATGGAAAATTTATAGGCTTGTGTCCGTCCGCTTATGTGTCTGTCTGTTAGCTTTTTTGTATCCGGCTCATAACTTTTTACTAGGCCTATATTATCAAACTTTGTCATCTGATGTCTTGGGTAGAAGGTGTGTCGTGCACAAAAAAGGTCGCTCTGACCTTTATTTAAGAAGTTATAGCCAAATATGGAAAAATCCTTTCCGGCCCATAACTAGAAAACCATAAGAACAATCACAAACTTGGCCAGTTTATGTGATCTTAGGTAAAACTGTGTTGCGACCTATTTCAAGGTCACTGTGACCTTTAATTTAAGTGAATTTTTAAAAAAAAATGTGTCTTTTTATATATATTTACACATCCCAAATAATGTAATGTATTGCACTGTTCTTATTAAAAAAGTGTTATCAAGAAAATACTTATTTTTTTTAAGCATATACTTGACAGCAATCTATAACAAATATAATGTATGTCAGAGAAATCCTGCCTCTCCCATGAGTGTGTTAACAAGCACTGGTCAAAATGAAGAATTTTGATAACAGAAAATTGCATGTCAAATTAGAGAGAAATTAATGGGTTTTGAGAGCGAGGAGCTAGCATTGGTATTATCTATATCCCTTGAGTATTGGGCAAATGGGTAAGCCTGTTTGATTAAAAATAGCTCTTGTTGACTAGCTTTAGTTTTAAAATAATTTGATGAAAAGTAATTAAAACTAATTTGATATTGCATAATAGATTTCTGATATTATGTAATATTATTAATTTAAAAACTAATTTTTTGGGGTGGGGTTCTTTTAATCAATGCATGTCCATATGAATTACATATTAAAACCTGTGGACATTAAATCTCAACACTAAAAAAAATAATCTCTGTATTTTATTAAATTTATAGTAGATAGTGCAGACCCATTCATCTCTTGGTTAGTAAAAGTAGAAATTTCCAGTTAAAGATTAATTAATGAGTTCAATGTAGGAAGGCTAGCTGTCTCAGTCACTCTGATTAAGCAGTCTTACCTGTACCCTTTGGGGATTAGACAGAAGAACTGCTGGTCAGTTTATAACATTGTCATTTGATGGCCAGCCTTTTCTTTTCAAAATTAATTTGGTATAGATTAAGTTGTTAAGACTAATTTGATGATGGGCATTTGACAAGGTCTAAACCAGCAAAGAAATCTATCATTTATGTAATATTTATTATCATTGATATATACATCACAGGGGATGGATAAATATTTTAAGGAATGGAAAAATCATCGAAATCTTAGAATCAAGGTTGATGTGATTTTCCTGCACCTAAACTGTTCAAGAAAATTGTAATTTTTTGACGGGCGTATCATGCTGTGGCGCTACACTTTTGGTTTTTCCTCTGTTACAGTTGGCACAAACAAATGAAGCATTTTTTTAGAGGAAAAACTTATTTGATGGTACATGTAGGTATGAATGTAGAATGAGATTTTTCCATTCAGAGAAATCTTTCATTGTGTTAGGTAACAACATTGAAAATCAAAATGTTTTTCTTTTTAAATTCTCAAAGATTTCAATTGCTGTAGTTTTTAATGTGATGACACAAGGGCTTCATTTTAGTGATGGAAAAACTGTTGTAGACATTGTTAAAATCCACAGTGATTTATATTTTCTCAACTTTTCATTTACCTTCTTTCTATATATATATTTGAATTACATCATATCTACGTTTTTTCTCTCAATGGGTTACTTTATAAACATATAAGATTAAATGAATATTTTGGAATATCAAATTCAGTTCTCCTAGATTTAGAAGACAAAATACCCAGAAAATAAGATAGTACACAAGTTTTGATAAAGAATTTTGAGGAATTGTCTAGTTTATAAATAATTTATGAACTTAAAGTAATTGAGGAAAGATGCATGGATCCATCCAAATGTGACAAAATGTACGATGTAACATGTATTTGTTTAGTTTTGTAATCTAGCTATTAACAATCTAAATATATAATTTTTTCAATTTTGTTTTTTTTTTATGAAAATTGTCTTGATGAGCATAATCGGCTAATTTATGTATACCCTATCTCTGTTACCATGGTAACCATATACCATAATGTTTTCTTGTTTGTTATTATTATATAGTTTTAAAAAACCTCATTTTTGAAATCAAGTTCTGTTGAATTTTGATGTGAATTTTATTTCTTGTTATCGTTTACACTCTTGATGTCGTATTTCTCTCTTTTTTCCAGAGTATTAATTGTATATAGTGTTAATTAATGCCTAAAAATCACTTGAAAGTTCAGCGATGTATATATATGTGTGTGTATTACATATTTGTTACATATATTGTCCCAAATTCAAGGAAGTGCTTATAAGAGGATAAAAAACCTAACTGCCAGTTTTAAAATGCCCAAATAGGAATCTATATATTTTCTTAAAAAATGAAACATAAATTTACAACTTTATATAGTTGAAATATTTTTCAGATGCAATGTTGAAGTTATAGCACATGTGCTGGCAATCAGTCCTTTTTTAATTAAATGCTGATAGCATTTGACAAAGAAGTATGTCATATGTAAATAACTTGATTTTTTTTATATTAATGAATATCTATCATTTAAACCCAAATAAACTGGTGGTCTCTGTTTCTGAATGTTTCATCAGAGGTACTAGTTTACTTTGTGTATACGAATCAAAGTACATAATATAGATAAACCATGTTTATTGTTAAATGTCTGTTATAAATAGTATTGTTTTGTTTTGATGAAGAGGGAGACAATGATAGCAAAAGTTTTAATTTTTTGTTATAAGATTAGATAGCAAATGTTCACCATTCTTACTGTCATGGTGTAAGAGGACAGATTGTTTAAAAAATAGGAAAAAGTATTTTGCATTCAGTATACTGTGTATATATAAATATTCATCATCATTTTTACAGAAGCAATAAAATAATAAATAGTTTAAACAAGTTAAGGTGTTAACATTTTATTTCGAAACAGTCTGAATTGTGATAAAGTTTCAGGAAAATCTACATAAGATGTTTAACTTCATTTGGAACAGAGAGATTCTTGGAAGGATTGGTTAATGTATTTATTGATTTATACAGTTTATAATCAAGTCTTGATTACTTCAAAGAATTTGTACCCAAAAAATCTTGTAGCCAGTATCTAAATTATTAAAAGAACATTTTCAGAATCAATATTAGACACCCTATAAATAATGTAAATATTGCAGGCTTCATGTCTGTTTATTTTCCAAATTATTCTGGATATATAACTTGAATACTATTAGGCCTAGTATTATCAAACTTTGTCAACTGATACTTCTTGGGTAGAAGGTGTGTAGGTTGCTCTGACCTTTAATTAAGACACTTTGGCCAAATATGGAAAAATCCTGTCCGGCTCATAACTAGAGAACTATTAGGTGTAGATCTATCAAACTTGGCAAATGTATACATCTTAAGTAGAAGGTGTGTTGCGACCTATTTAAAGGTCACTGTGATCTTTAATTTAAGTGAATTTTAAAAAAAAAATAAGTCTTTTAAATTTCATAATCCTAAAAAATGTAAAAATATAGTTGTATTTTTATTAAAAATGTTAAATCAAGTAAAAACTTATTTTTTTCATCATATACATGTGTACTTTACAGCAATCTATAACAAATGTTAATGATATGAGAGAAATTCTATTTCTCCCGCGGG